GCACAAACTTGATTAGACTGGAATTATTCAGCAGAAAAAAGAAATGAAATAACGGAATTAGATATTTCTAGTAAAGAATTAGAAGGTGATCTGAGTCTAGAAAATTTTACTAAATTACAGAAATTAAATTGTGCTAACAATCAAATTAATAGGCTGGATTTGAGTAAAAGTGAACAATTAGTTGAAGTTGATTGTTCCATGAATAAATTGATAGAGATCAACCTAAAAAACAGTAAAAATTTGCTCAATCTTTATTGTAATGATAATCAATTAACTAATCTAGATTTAAGTAGTTGTGAAAATCTTGAATCATTGAAAGTTCATAATAGTTACAATGAAGAAGAAAGAGAGTGATTTAATGAATTATCTGATATTAGTTTTTTAAACAAATTACCTAATCCTGAAAAATTAAAAGTTTTACGCTTAGATGCTAATAATGTTAGTAGTAATTTAGAACCCTTTTCTGGTTTTATTAATCTAGAAGATTTAGGTTTAGGAATGAATGGTTATTCCAAAGAGACTACAAAAAAGAGAGGTAATAAATTTTATGGCTCTTTAGAGCCTTTAAAGAATCTAAACAAATTGAAAAAGTTGGATATTGCTAATACGGACATTGATTCTGGGTTTGAACATTTGCCAGCAAGTGTGGAAGAAATTTGCTGCTCTAGTAAAGAAAGGTCTGAAAGTAAAGTCAAAAAGATAGCAGATGACCCTAAGTTAAATCATCTTTTTGACTTAAACGGCAATAAATATACTAGAAATTGGAAAGATATCCATGCTGATTTTACTCCTCAACTACAAAAATTATGAAAAGAACATGCCTTTACTAAGGAGCAAGTTAAGAAGTGAATTGAGATTGGTTTGCAGCCTAATGATTATGATCTAGCCAATCATTTAAAAAATCAAGGAATAAATGCTGAGCAAAAAGATCTAGATTTAGTAAATTTGAAATCAAACTATGAAGAAAAACCTGATTGGAAAAATATTCACAAATACCTGGATGATTTTTGACGAGAGTATTGGGAAAAAGGGGAATTTAATTATGCCGAAACTAAACAGTGAATAGAAGCTTGAATTAGTTACTCTGAATATGAAAAGGCTAAAGAATGAAAAGATCTCAATTTTAGTCCTGTACAAACTCAAAAATGACTAGAAGCAGGATTAAAAACAAAAGACAGCAAATTTGCTAATTACTTGAGAAAAAATAATTTTACTCCAAACCAATATGCTAAGCAAAGTAAAAATGCTCAAGAGTGATTGAATTGTTTCTATCCAAGTGAAAAAAGAGAAAATGTCACTGAAATGGATATTACCGATAAAGGTCTTGAAGGTTCTTTAAAAATAGACGGGTTTAGTAATTTAGAAAAAATTAACTGCAGCAGTAATGAGTTAGTAAATTTGGAAGTAATTAATCTAAAAAGCTCCAAGGAAATTAATTGCTCGAATAATAAACTTGCCGGACTAAAGGTTAATGGTCTGGATAATCTAGAGGTGTTAAATTGTTCTGAAAATTGCCTAACTGATGTTGAGACACTGCTTTCTGATTTAAGTCACGAAAAACTAAAAACATTGAATCTATCTAATAATAACTTTTCTAAAAATGATCTATCTCCTTTTAGCAAATTCACTAATCTAGAAAATTTGTACTTGAGTACAACTGACAAAAAGGGAATTGAGCAAGGAAGTTATAATAAATTTTTCGGCAGTTTAGAATCATTGAAAAACTTAACTAAATTGAAGAAATTAGATATTGTAAATACAGATATAAATAGCGGTGTTGAGTACTTACCGGGAAGTTTAGAAAAAATTATTCACACTCCAGGCAAATGAGAAAAAGAAAGGCCTGAAGCAAAAGTAAATGAAATTAAAAAAGAACTAGACAACCAACTTACTAAAATTTGGTTAGATAAAAACTATCCCAAAGAAAAAAGAAAAGAAACCAAAGAGTTAAGTGCTGGCTTTAAAAGATTAAGAGGAGAACTTGACTTGTCTGGTTTTGAAAATTTGGAAGCGTTAGACTGTCATGATAATGAATTAACTGGTTTAAATTTAAGTAAATGCAATAACCTTCAGTCACTAAAAGTTAATCGTAATAAATTATCTGATATTAATTTCTTAAATCAAATACGCAGCCCCGAAAAATTGAAGGTTTTGCATTTAGGCGATAATAGAATCTTTAGTGATTTATCCCCTTTTTCTCGCTTCATTAATTTAGAGGATTTAGGATTAGGTAGTGATGAAAGGTTTAGTGATAAAGAAGATTTAAATAACTTCTTCGGATCTCTTGTACCCCTGAAAAATCTAACCAATTTGGAAGTACTAAATATTTCTGATACTGATATTAGCGATGACAATCTAGAAAATTTACCAGATAATTTAATAAGAATTTATTGCTCTAGTGAAGAAAAAACAGAAAGCAAAGTTAAAAAACTGGAAGACTTATTAAAAAAATCAGATAATTTTATATTAAGCAGTAAACCAGACGACTTTAGTTTGTGGGATAAAACAGAAGTTTATGTTAGAAAATATTCCAATGCTCAAGAGTGATTGAATAAAAGGTATTCTGACAAAGAAAAGGTAAAAGAAATTAATCTTTCCAGTTTGGAAGATATCGAATGCCAACAAGAAAGCGGATTATCTATTGAAAATTTTCCTAATCTAAAAGAGATAAAATATAGTAGCAAATCTTGAAATGGCACTGAAAAGGTGAACAAAATAACGATCAAGGGGTGTTCCCGCTTAGAAAAAATAGATATCGGTAATTTTGAAGAAAACAGGGAAGTAATTATAAGTAATTGTCAAGAACTAAAGGAGTTAGATTGTTCTAATAGTCAACTTACTAGTTTAAACCTTGAGGATTGTTCTCAGTTAACTAAACTTAATTGTTCCAATAATTCACTTAAAGAATTAAATGTCCAACCATTTCCTAATTTAAAAGAACTCAACTGTTCAAAAAATGACCTTGCAGGCTTAGAGCTTTCTGAGAACCTGCAGTTAGAACAATTAAATATCACTGATAGTAATTTTTCAGAGCAGAATTTGATTTTTTTAGAAAAGTTAACTAATTTACAAACACTTAAGGTAGGAAACAGTGATATAAAGGAACTGCACAAACTTTACGAGGAACATAATAATAATAAGTATTCAGGTATTGGTAATCATTACTTTCGCTTTGCACAAATCTTTTCAAGAAAATTTACCAAATTAGACAATGAAATAAAAAGAAGGGAACAAGGAAAATATAATAAATTTAACGGAAGTTTAGAGTTCTTAAAAAATATGTCTAAACTGAAAACGTTAGACATCAGTAATACTGATATCAATGAAGGCGTTAAGTATTTGCCCGATAGTGTTAGTGAAATTTACTATTCATTTAAAGATATACCAGAAAGTAAAGTCAAAGAAATAGCAGAAGAATTAAAATGCGTGGACACTTGAATAGCTATTACCCCTGATTTTACTATTAAAAATAAAAAGGATTGAGAAAGCAAAGGATTTAGTTATGAGGAGACAGATGGATGAATATCAGGTTGAAAATTGAAGGAAAGGGAAATTGATTGAGCTAGATATTTAAAAGCAAAGGTAGGTGCTCCTTGGTGAAATAGCTCTTGAAATATTGACGAATTAAGGGATAAATTAAGAAACGAATTCAAAAACTACTTGGAGCGAGAAGAAAAAAAAATAAGGGATAAACAAAATGAAGAAACCAACAAAGAAGACTCTCAGCAAGAGAATGAACGCAAAGACGACTCAAGTACATCCAAGAAGACCGATGATTATAGCACTCATGTTGCAAAGTCCCAAAAATTAACATCAACAAAAAACGAAGTGCATTCTTCTGCCTACAGTAGTTGAGGAGACATTAATTCAGATTTTAAGGACAGTGATTTTGTTGATTATTTAAAAGGTAAAGATTGTAAAGTTAACGATTTATTAGTAAGCGATGTAGTAAAATGAAACCGTGACTATCATAATGAAAAAATTAAAGTTTCTGTAGAAAAAGATGTTGTTGATGAAGGGATTACTGATAGGGAACTAAATCAGGCATTAATTGATAATAAGTGCATAACGAATAAAAACCAAACTTGACAAACTTATTTAGACAATTCTAAAACGCCAGATGAGTTAAGTATCCGGGAAAAAACAATTTTAACTACTATTAAAGGTTTAAAAGAGATGAAGAACAAAGACAAAGAAATTGAATCATTAAAATCCAGAATCAAGGAGTTAGTTAAGTTGGTCGAACAACAAAAGAAGAAAGTTGTTGAAATTTTTCTAAAAATCTCCCCCGAAAGAGAATTGCTGCAAGGATTAATCAGTAAATATTTAGAGTTCATCAGATTCAAAAAGCAAGGTTCAGAAGTGTCCGATTACGATGAACAATGTAATAATTACGAAATAGAATATTGAAATACCAAAAGCGAATTGCAAAAGAAATTAAGTAAAGAAGAGATGAATAAAGTTCGGCACATTCTTGCTGGCTGTGAGGAAATAGTGCAGTGAGAAATGGAATTAAAAACTAAGGTCATTGAAACTAAGAAATTATTAATGCTAACTGACAGAAAAGAAAATTCCGAATTCGACCTCATTCTTGAATCAATTGATGTTCCCTTACAAATAGAATACAAAATTGATCTTACTGCTCAAACACGAGTAGACGGAGAATATCCTAAAGATGAAAAAAAGAGATCAGAAATTACCGAACTAGATATTAGTAAAGAAAATTTACAGGGAAAATTAAACTTAAAAGGCTTTACTAATTTAAAAGAGTTAGATTGCCACGACAATCAGTTAACTGAATTAGACATTAGTGATTGTCCTAATTTAGAAGTTCTTTATTGTTCCAGTAACCAACTAAGTGGTTTGGACTTAAGCAATTGCCCCAATTTAAAAACTATTGATTGTGGTTTTAATGAACTTACTAATTTAGATTTGACTAATTTATCCCATTTGGAAGAACTTTCCTGCAATGATAATCTCATAACTAAACTAGAACTTTCATCTTTAAACTCGGAAAAACTAACCAGCCTAAATATAAGTGATAACAACTTTTCTGAGCAAGATCTAGAAATTTTTGGCGAATTTACTAATCTAGAAAATTTATTAATTGGTAATGAAGATAAAAAGAAAATTGAACAGGGAATTTATAATCGCTTCTTTAATAGCTTGGAACCATTGAAAAATTTAACCAAATTGGAATTATTGTTCATTAGCAATACCGACATTGACTCTGGGTTAAAATTCTTACCTGATAGTCTGGAGGAAATCTATTGTTCATTTAAAGAAAGACCAGAAAGCAAGGTAAAAACTTTGGCGGAGAGGCTAAGCGATTTTTCTATTGATGAGGATAAAGGAAGTTATAATCTTCGAGACTGAAAGGATAGCCAACAAACTCAGATTGAAGTACAATAAAAAAGTAAGAAAAAAATTTAATAACTTATGGTAGACATAAAAAAATTAAAAAATACTGATTCAGAAAAATGACAAGAAGTCATTGATGAAATTAAGAAAAGAGGATATATCCAGCGTAATCAAGAAGTTCACGACATAAAGCCAAATTTTTCTACTAAAGAAAACAAACGTTATGGGTTGCTATTTGTTTTTGAAAGTGGTGGTAGTAAAGGTTACTTATCTAGTGCTAAGAAATATGTCGGCATTTTTTTTCGTTATAATGCTTCTTCAGGAAAAATAGAAGAAATAATAGACGGAAACGTAAAATTGGGTAAGTTTAAGGAAAAGGCAGCAAAGGAAAAAATCCTTGAGAAAGTTTTGGAGATTGAACTAACAGAAAAGAGCAAAGCAATTATTAGCCTATGTGAAAAAAAGGATAAAATCAACACTAAAGATATAATATTGATTGGCCGTACGGGTGATGGAAAGTCAGCACTAGCTAATGTGTTAGTTGGCGAGGAAGGGTCTTTCACAGAAGGCGAGTGTAGTGCTAGCGAGACAAATGAAGTTAAAATTAAAGAGTTTAAACCTGAGGAGCAAGCTGCGAAAGGAATAACCTATCGGATAATTGACACTCCTGGAATTAGTCATACCAAATTATCTAGAGAAGAAGTATTGTCTCAAATCGTAAAGGAGGTAGCACACTCGACTTTATGTGGTAACTTAAATCAGGTTTTTTTTGTAACTAGCGGCAGGCTTACTGAAGAGGAAATAGAGGCCTATAATGTATTGGAAACAGTAATTTTTAAAAAAGATATTAGTGGGTTTACTACTATTGTTCGCACTAATTTCCCCAATTTTATGCATGATAAAAAAATAAACAATGATCTGCAGAAGATTAATAATAAAGAGTACAACAAAGCTTTTAGGTCAATTGAGTACGACAAATTTATCCATGTAGATAATCCACCGTTAGATGTTGACGAAATAACTTCTGCCAGTAGCGAGAAGAAGGAAGAAAAAGAGGAAGCAGAACAAACAGCAAAAGACAGAGCAAATATAAACAAAAAAGTAAGAGAACTTTCAAGAAAAATTTTGTTGAGACGGTTAGATGAATGCCAAAATAAATGTTATAAGGCGAATAATGAATTAGAGATACTAAGTAAAGAAATTACTAGTCATGTTGTGAGAATATTTATATTAGAACTAGATCAAGAAATAAATGATGAAACTCTACCAGGTTACATTAGAGACATTTGTAACAAAGAAATAGAAAATTCAGTGAATCATATTAATGAAAAGATAAAAAACTATATTGAAGAAGCGAATTCAAACAATTCTTTCCTTGTCAACAAAAGTAGTTTAGAAAAAGG